GTGGGGTGAAGCTGTTTTGACTGCATGTTATATTTTAAATCGTATTCCTAATAAGAAGACTAACTTGACTTGTTTTGAGTTATGGAGAGGCTATAAGCCAAATCTTAGCTATCTCAAAGCTTGGGGATGCTTGGCTTATGTAAGATTGATAGATCCAAAAAGACCAAAGTTAGGTGCAAGAGCTGCGACATGTGTATTTATTGGGTACGCAACTACAAGTAAGGCATATAGATTCCTTGATCTTGATTCTAATGTTGCTATTGAATTTGTGGATGCTATATTTCATGAAAATAAATTCCCTTTTAAACTTAAGAAGGATGGAAGTCATGATTTTACAAAACAAAATGATTTTGAACCTAGTTCCTCAATTTCATCTCATTTTCAAAACCAAGAGAACATGGATTTTGAACCTAGGAAAAGTAAAAGAACATGTAAAGAAAGAGATTTTGGTTCAGATTATTCAGATTATTATGTATATAATGTAGATGGAGAACCATTGTCTTTTCAAGAAACTTTAACTTCTTCTGATTCTGATTTTTGGAAAGAAGCTATTAATGATGAAATGGATTCTTTGATTTCTAATAAAACTTGGAAGTTGGTAGATTTACCTCCTAGTTGTAAAACAATAGGATGTAAATGGGTTTTGAGGAAAAAACTTAAACCGGATGGAACCATAGATAAATATAAAGCAAGACTTGTTGCAAAAGGTTTCAAACAAAAAAAGGAACTAGACTTTTTTGATACCTTTTCAGTTGTAACAAGAGTGACTTCTATTAGAGTACTTATAGCTGTAGCCGCCGTTCATAACATGCTCATCCATCAAATGGATGTTAAAATGGCATTTTTAAATAGAGACTTGCATGAAGAAATTTACATGGATCAACTTGAAGGTTTTGTTATGCCTGGCCAGGAGGACAAGGTATGTAAATTGACTAAATCTCTTTATGGTCTAAAACAAGCTCCAAAAAAATGGCATGAGAAATTTGATAGTTGCTTGATTGAAAATGGTTTTAAATCAAGTGAAAGTGATAAATGCATATATGTTGGATTCTTCAATAATTATCATGTTATTATATGTCTGTATGTTGATGATCTCTTGATTTTTGGTTCAAATTTAGAGGTGATTGACTCTACTAAGTCATTGTTAAATAAGCATTTTGACATGAAGGATTTGGGTGAGGCTAATGTAATTCTTGGCATGAAAATAACTAGGAATTATGATGGAATCTTTCTTGATCAATGCCATTATATAGAAAAATTTTTGAAGAAATATAACTATCATAGTTCTAGACATGTTATGACGCCTTTATCACCCAGTGTGCATTTGTATCCCACTTTACATGATAGAGATAT